AAGTCCAAGCTGCACTTACGGAACTGGTGAAAAACAAGGCTCCAGGAATTGACAAAATACCTACTAAGATGTTTTAACAAACATGCAGCTTTGCAGGTGCTTAACTCATCTATCCCAAGAAATTTGGAAGACAACTACTTAGCCAACCAACTGGAAGAGATCTATATTTGTGCCCATTCCAAAGAAAGGTGATCCAACAGAATGTGGAGATTATTGAATAACATCATTAATATTAAACCCAAGTAAAATTTTGTTATAGATAATTAAAAAACTGTTGTACCAGTATATTGATAGGAAACTTCCAGAAAAGCAAGCTGGATTCAGAGGAGGAAATGGAACAAGGGATATCATTGCTGATGTCAAATGGATTTTGGCTGAAAGCAGAGACTACCAGAAAGATATTTACCTGTGCTTCATTGACTATCCAAAGACATTTGACTCTGCACACCCTAACAAATCATGGATAACATTGCAAAGAATAGGAATTCCAAAACACTTCATTGTGTTTATGAGGAACCTACCCGTAGACCAAGAGGCTGTTGTTCCAACAAAGCAAGAGAACACTGCATGGTTTAAAATCAGGAAGGTTGTATGTCAGGGCTGTATCCTTTTACCATAATTATTCAATCTGTTTGCCGAGCAAATAATCAGAAAAGCTGGACTATGTGGAGAAGAATGTGGCATCAGGATTTGAGAAAGACTCTTTAACAACCTGAGATATGCAGATGAGAGACGTTTGCTTGCTAGAAGTGAAGAGGGTATGAAACACTTATTGATGAAGATCAAAGAATGCAGTCTTCAGTATGGATTACATAAGGAAAAAAAAAAAAAAAAGTCCTCACACCTAGACAAATAAAAAACATCATGATAATAAATGGGGAAAAGATGAAAGTTTTCAAAAATTTCATTTCATTTTGATCCACAATCAATATTCATGGAAGCAGCAGCAGAGAAATCAGATGTCATACTGAACTGGGCAAATTTGCTGTAAAAGACCTCTTTAAAGTGTTGAAGAGCAAAGATGTCACCTTGAAGACTAAGGTGCACCTAACCCAGGCCAGAGTATTTCTGATCACCTCATATGCATGTGAAAGCTTGACTGAAGAATTGATGTCTTTGAATTGTGCTTTTGGCAAAGAATACTCAAAATAACATGGACTGCCAGAATGAACAAATCTAACCTGGAAGAAGTGCAGCCAGAATGCTTCTTAGAAGTGAGAAGGGCCAGATTTAATCTCACCTACTTTGGTCATGTGGTCAGAAGGGACCAGTCCCTGGAGAAGGATATCGTGCTTGGTAAAGAGGAGGATCAGAGAAAAAGAAGACCCTCAGCAAAGATGGATTGACACAGTGACTGCAAGGTTAAATATTAATACATGAACAGGATAATTCCAAACATGGGTCAAAAAGCCTACAGTGGAGAGCAGGATCTGACAATGCTGAAAGCATTATGAGACTCTGCACTAAAGGAAGAGCTTAGAAAACTAGTTTTAATAATCTGTGATTTGGAAATTTAAACCTAACATATAACTGAAGCCATAACTTTCTAAAATATGTGTTGTTGTTGTTGTTATGTGCCATTGAGTCAGACCCAACTCATAGCGACCCTTCCTTGGATTGCCGAGGCAGTATCACTGCCCAACCTTCCTTCCAAGAAGTGGGTGGTGGGTTTGAACCGCCAACCTTCTGGTTAGCAGTCAAGTGCCTTAGGCACTAAGCTACCAGAGCTCCTGTTATTGCTGTTAGGTGCCATCAAATTGGCTCCTACTCATAGGCCCCCTCTGGCCTTCAACATGGGGGAAGAGAAATACAGAATATAGTCTCTCTAGTCTTCCTGTCTCATCTAATGGGTGAAAAATAAAAAAGCTGAGAAGCACGTGTGAAGGTCACAGCTCAGTGGCACAATCTCACTAAGAGACTGAGACTTAATCATAGGATCATAAAAATATTGCCCTCCCCTCACATCTTACCATTCATCAGTAAGATTCTGAAGACCACCAAGTGCCTGGCAGTGTGTTGTACTGTGTTGGCTTGGATGTTGCTATGTTGCTGGAAGCTATGCCACCAGTATTTCAAATGCTAGCAGTGTTATCCTTGGTAGACAGGTTTAAGTGGAGATCCAAACTAAGACAGACTAGGGAAAATGGCCTGGCAATTTGCTGCCAAAAATTAGCAAATGAAAACCTTACAGATAACAACAGAAGATTGTCCAACATAGTGCTAGAAGATGAGCTACCCTACTGTGGAAGGCAACAATGGACTCAACACCATGATGGTGGTGTGAGATTGGGCAACATTTTCAGTCTGTTGCACAGGGGTCATCATGAGTTAGAGCCCACTCCATGACAACTAACAACAACATAATTAAATTCTTGTGTTTTGGGTTTTTTTGTTTGTTTGTTTGTTTTGGACTAGTATGGATGTGTCCCTGGCTGGTACCCTAAAAAACTGTTCACTCTGATGCTTCCATGTACTCTGCCTCAGAGCAGAATGAGACTTAATTACAGAGTGCCAGTGTCTCCAAGATTAAGGTCTCAAGCCTCCCACCTCGTCTTTCATCTGAGGAAAAGCCAGGAACCAGGCTAGAAGATTCTGGGCATGTTCATGTGTTCAGTCTGAGAGTCTACCTCATTGCACAGCTTAGGGAAGTTCTAACTAATGCTGTTCTTTGTGACTTTGGCCTCCCTAAACCCCATTCCCTTGAGAAGACTCAGTGTTTCTTACTTTTAGGGTGACCTTTAACCTGTTCTTCACTCATAATCTGTTACCTGAAAAACCTCTCAGTTAACAGGAACCCCAGTGGGGAAGGTTGGTTTGTTCAGCCTGGTCAGGCTACAGTTCTAACTCCTCCACCCTCTATTTTCACATACAGAACAGTTCAGCTTGTCTCCTTGCCTGGTTCCAAAGATGAATATTTTCTAAGGAAACAAGGCAGGGGAGAGCTAGGGCTGGGGGGGCTTAGCCCTGCTAAGGAAGAAGGATCAGATACAGAGGACAGAAGGGTGTTAAATATCGAAAGAGGGGAGTGAGGACTGGTGAGGGGGCATTGGCAGAGAGTTCAGAGGCACACTCTCCCTCCTGGCTTGTCCCTCCCCCCATGTTCATTCCTGGCCCCACATAGCCTTTATTATTGCTGTTATTGGTTAGAATTCTTTTTTTTTTTTTTTTTGTAGTGAAAATATAAATAACAAAATGTTTGCCATTTCAATACAAAAGATGTCGTTCACCCTTGGTATGCTTCTCCCCAGCATTTAAAGTACAGAAAAACATGCCCAGATATTTAATTACTGATTTTCAGGGCCCTGGGAGGGAAGAGTTTAGGGTGAATACCCCACCTCTGCTCCCAGATTGTTTTGGGAGAACCTTCTGGTACCAAAGGGCATCTCCCAGTTGTTGCCACTCTCATCCAGCCTGCTTGATCTCGAAATATCACTAAGGAATGGAGGAAGGGGAAGACTTAAAAAGGAAATTTCAAATGATGAGCTTGGAGCCTTTGCAATGCAGGAGAAAAACAATCAATTATGAAGTAATTAGGAATAAAACACTAACTGAAAGATTCTGGTGGCATTATTATACCAATGACTACTGACACTATTTTAAATGAGAAATATATGAGACAATCCAAAGCCAATGATATGAATTAATTGATCAAACTATATGCACTGGAATTTCTTTCCTTGCCAAAATTGCCTAATGTTGTGTTAGGTGTCATTGACTCTGACTCTCAGCAACCCTATGTACAACAGAACAAAAAATTGCCCACGACTGTACCATCCTCACAATCTTCACTATGCTTGAGCCCATTGTTGCAGCAACTTTGTCATTCCATCTCATTGAGGGTCTTCCCCTTTTGCATTGACCCTCTACCAGGCATGGTATCTTTCTCCAGGGATTGGCCCATTCTGACAACATGACCAAAGTATCTGAGACAAAGTGGCTATTTTCACTTCTAAGGAGTTTGGGGGCTATACTTCCTCCAACACAGATTTGTTCTTCTGGCAGTCCATGGTATTAAGTATTCTTCACCAACACCACAATTCAAATCCATCAACTTTTCTTTGGTCTTCCTTATTCCTTGTCCAGCTTTCACATGCATATGAGGCAATTGAAAATACCATGGCTTGGGTCCAGTGCACCCTAGTCTTCAAAGTGACATCTTTGCTCTTTAACACTTTAAAGAAGTCTTTTTCAGCAGACCTGCCCAGTACAATATGTCGTCTGATTTCCTCACTGCTGCTTCTGTAACATTGACTGTGGATCCAAGTAAAATGAAATGCCTGACAATTACAGTCTTTTCTCCATTTATCATGATGTTGCTTATTGGTCCGGTGGTAAGGATTTTTGTTTTGTCTATGTTGAGGTGTAATCCATAGTAAAGGTTATAGTTTTTGATTTTCATCCATATGTGGTTCAAGTGTTCTTCACTTTCAGCAAGAAGGTTGTGTCATATGCATATTGTAGGTTGTTAATGAGTCTTCCTCCATTCCTAATGCCACATTCTTCTTCATATAGTCTAGTTTCTTGGATTTTTTGCTCAGCATACAGACTGAATAAGTCTGGTGAAAGAATGCAACCCTGACACAACTTTTCTGATTTTAAATCATGTAGTACCCCTTTGTTCTATTTGAACAACTACTTCTTGGTCTCTGTACAAGTTCCTCATGAGAACAATTAAGTGTTCTGGAATTCTCATTCTTTGTAATATTACCCGTAATTTGTTGTGACCTACACAGTTGAATGCCTTTGTGTAGTAAATAAAACACTGGTAAACATCTTTCTGATATTCTTTGCCTAACATTGGGTATGGTTATTCTCAGTAAACAATGTTAATGCTATACAAAAAGAACAGTATTAATCTTACATTGCCTTAGGTTTTTTTAAATCTGGAAAACAAAACAAGTTCATGTTGCTAACATCAGTTGCTTTTTAATCTAGCTTGGAATTTATACTTTAATTTATTCTATTGCATGTTGTATTTAATTAATATAATTTTAAAGATACTAACCAGTTTTAAATTTGTGTCCATCATCAACACTTCCAAACTCTCCTTTCATTATTGTGCAGTTAGGAGGAACAAAGCCCTTATGACAATGGCAATGGTTAAAATTATTGCAAGTCTAGAATAATCAGAAAATGAAGCATGTTTTAATGTACAAAGATTGTTCTTGATTCAACACTAAAGGATATTCTATATTTACTTAAAATAGTATCGCATTATAATTAATTTAAGTGGACAAAGTTATCAAATTTCCCAAATTTTTCCTTGAACTTGTCTCTACCTTTGGAAAGTGTATCTTGCTCCAGCTGCCTAATCAATTTATATATATATATTTATTTTTTTATATATATATTTCAGCTTCCTCCATAGCCAGATTCAAATATCAGCAGCTACAGTAACATGCCACTAATTATTATCTACTTGCTAACTTCACAGAACAGCCCCCATACTCGAAATTAACTGGCAAGACTAGCAAGATAACTCTAATTATCCTTTTTTTCACCTATTTCAGCCTTCTTTCTGTAAAATTAAGATCATTTTGATTATCTAGTAACACAATAACTTTTGATAAAAGTGCATTGTTAAAACAATACATCCACTCCACATATTTACCAGAACATTTTTGCATTCAGAATCATTTAAAATGATTCTACTTTATTATCTCTAATAAATTGGTAAGATTTGCTAATAAAAAAAGATTGAAACAATATAGACTGTTAACAGGACACCAAATAGCATTTAAAAAATGGTAGCAAATAATAATTCATATTTTTTTTAAAAATCATCAAATTACCTATTGTACTGCTCAGATCATACTGCTTAAAATGAGCATTACAGTTACTTACTCCACTCTTGTTGCAATGTACAATAGAATTGCATGCCTTAGAATCCATAAAGAAACGAGTCTCTTTACAGGAAAATCTGATACAAAACTAAAAAAAAAAAGTGAAATAGCAGTCAAATAATCATATTGAAAGAATGGATAATACATAGTACAAATTGAAGAAAATCCCAGAAGTCATATTATACAGGATTAACTTTTAAAAATAAATTACTTTAACTGCATTGATATAAATATAAAATAAGTTACCTACAGATTGTAAAACTATGTAAGGAGTTAGAAGTGTTTTAAGACAGAATAGGACTGCACTATGTTGTTGTTGTTGTTGTTGTTATGTGCCCTCGAGTTGGACCCGACTCATAGCGACCCCTCCTTGGGTTTCCGAGGCAGTATCGCTACAGAAGCAGATTGCCTCATCTTCCTTCCGAGGAGTGGCTGGTGGGTTTGAACCTCCAGCCTTCTGGTTAGCAGTTAAGTGCCTTAGGCACCATGCTACCAGAGCTCCTGGACTGTACCATAGAGTGTCCAAAACTGTAAATCTTTAGAGAAACTGCCTGTCATGTTTTTCTCCCACAGAGCCTCTGGTGGGATTGAACTGTCAATTTTTTGGTTAGCAGCTGAGTACTTAACCACAGTTTCACCAGGGCTCCTTTGTACCTTCAGCAGCAGAAATCCTCTTAGAAAAAGAAATATGTGGAATGTTAATTTGATTAATGCCTTGGATTTAAGAATTGCTAGGGGAAGGGGGATATCTTAAAAATACTCATGCCTGGGCTCCACCTGAGGCTATTATATCAAAATTTCTGAAGAGAGGTCCAACAAAGTATTTCAAGATCCAGGGCAAAAAAAAAAAAAAAAACAATTATATGAGACTGAATTAACTGATAAGGAAAAATTAATTGTACTTATTTGTTTTAATCATCTATAATTTTTCATGGGTATATGAGGAGCCCTTTGCCTTTCTCCTTTTATTCTTAATCTTTAATTTAGTAACTATGCTTTTGAGGACTTTGGCTTCCAGTAAGGATAAAGTAACAGTGCATTCCTTTCCACCATAAACCGCTAGAAAATTGGTATGAGTAGACTTTAATGATGCAGATGGAGTAAAGCTTTCAGGACCCCCATTTGCTGGTGTGGCACAACTCAATATGAGAAGAAACTGTTCCAAATATCCATTAATAACTGGAACATGGAATGTGCAAAATATGAACCCAGGAAAATTGGAAGTTGTCAAAAATGAAATGGAATGTATAAAGATTGATATCCTAGGCATCAGTGAGCTGAAATGGACTGGTTTGCACTATTTTGAATCAGACAACCATATGATCTACTATGCCAGGAATGACAAATTGAAGAGGAATGGTGTTGCATTCATCATCACAAAGAATATTTCAAGATCTATCATGAAGTAAAATGGAGTCAGTTATAGGGTAATATCAATAATCCTACAAGGAAGACCAGTTAATACTACTGTTGTTGTGTTGTTGTTATGTGCCGTTGAGTCAGCCCCAACTCATAGTGACCCCTCCTTGGGTTTCCAAGGCAGTATCTACTATTATCCAAATTTACACACCAATCACCAAAGCCAAAGATGAGGAAATTGCAGATTTTTACCAACTTCTGCAGTCAGAAATTGATTTAACATGCAATCAAGATGTGTTGATTATCACTGATGATTGGAATGCAAAAGTTGGAAACAAAGAACAATCACTGATAGTTGAAAAATACGGCCTTGGTGATAGAAATAACACTGGAGATCACATGATAGAATTTTGCTAGACCACGACTTATTCACTGCAAATACCTTTTACCAACAACACAAATGGCAGCTATATCCATGGACTTCACCAGATGGAATACACAGGAATCAGATTGACTACATTTGTAGCAAGAAGCAATGATGAAGCTCAACATCGTCAGCCAAAACAAAGCCAGGAGCTGTTTGTGGAACAGACCCATCAACTGCTCATAAGCAAGATCAAATTAAAGCTGAAGATAAAACAGGTCCACAAGAGCCAAAATATGACCTTGATTATATCCCTCTTGAATTTAGAGACCATCTAAAGAATAGATTTAACACACTGAACACTACTGACCAAAACCCAGAGGAATTGTGGGATGACAAGAACATCATCCATGAAGAAAGCAAGAAGTCATTGAAAAGACAGGAAGAAAGGAAGACCTAAATGGATGTCAGAAGAGACACTGAAACTTGCTCTTGAACAGAGTAGCTAAAACAAATAGAAAAAATTACAAGATAAAAGAGCTGAACAGAAGATTCAAAGAGCAGCTCAAGAAGACAAAAGCCAATTATTACAATGAAATGTGGAAAGACCTGGAGTTAGAAAACCAAAAGGGAATAGCACGCTTGGCATTTCTCAAGCTGAAAGAATTGAAAAAAAAAAAAAAAAAATTAAGCCTCGAGTTGCAATATTGAAAGATTCTATGGGCAATATAGGAGTTCTGGTGGCATAGTGCCTAAGGCATTTGACTGCTAACCAGAAGGCTGGAGGTTCAAACCTACCAGTCACACCTCAGAAGGAAGGTTGAGCAATCGACTTCCATAGAGATACCACCTCAGGAACCAAAGGAGGAGTCACTATGAGTTGGACCTGACTTGAAGGCAGTGAGTTTGGGTGTTTTTGGTTTATGGGCAATATATTGAATGATGCAGAAAACATCAAAAGAAGATAGAAGGCATACACAGAGTCATTGTACCAAAAAGAATTGGTAGGTGATCATCCATTTCAGGAGATGGCATATGATCAAGAACCAATGCTGTTGAAGGAAGAAGTCAAAACTGAACTGAAGGAATTGGCGAAATACAAGGCTCCAGGAATTGACAGAATACCCATTGAGATGTTTCATCAAACAGATGCTGTGCTGGAGGCACTCACTCAGCTATGCCAAGAGATTTGGAAGACAGACACCTGGCCAATTGACTGGAAGAGATTCATATCTGTACCCATTCCAAAGAAAGGTGATCTGACGGAATGTAGAAATTATTGAACAATATCACTAATATCACATGTAAGTAAAATCTTACTGAAGATAATTCAAAAAATGGCTGAAGCAGATAACAATGTATATTGACAGATAACTTCCAGAAATGCAAGCTGGATTCAGAGGGGGATGTGAAACAAGGGATTTCATAGCTAATGTCAGATGGATCTTGGCTGAAAGCAAAGAATACCAGAAAGATGTTTACTTGTGTTTTCTTGACTATGCAAAAGCATTTGATTGTGTGGATCATAACGAATTATGGATAATATTGAGAAGAATGGGAATTCCAGAACACTTAATTGTACTCATGAGAAACTTACACATAGACCAAGAGGCTGTCATTCAAACAAAACAAGGGGATACTGCCTGGTTTAAGATCAGAGAGGGAGTGTGTCAGGGTTGCATCCTTTTACCTTACTTATTCAGTCTGTTTGATAAGCAAATAATCTGAGAAGCTGGACTATATGAAGAAGAATGTGGCATCAAGATTGGAGGAAGACTCATTAACAAGCTGTGATATGCAGACGACACAACTTTGCTGAAAGTGAGGATGACTTGAAGCACTTACTGATGAAGATTAAAGACAACAGTCTGCAGTATGGATTACACCTCAATATAAAGAAAATAAAATCCTCGCAAATGGACCAATAAACAGCATCATGATAATTGGAGAAAAAATTGACAAAGATGTCATATTCCTTAGTTCTACAATCAAAACCAATGGAAACAGCAATCAAAACAGCAGAAGACACATTGCATTGGCCGGATGTGCTCCAAAAGACCTTTTTCAAGTACTGAAGAGCAAAGATGTCTTCTTGAAGACTAAGGTGCATCTAGCCCAAGCCATGGTAATTTCAGTCACCTAATGTGATATGAGTCGGGTCCAACTCAAGGGCATATAACAACAACAACAATATGTATGTGAGAGCTGATCAATGAATAAGGAAGACCAAACAAGAGTTGTGGTGTTCGTGAAGAATACTGAAAGTACCATTGACTGCTAAAAAAAAAAAAAAAATCTGTCCTGGAAGAAGTGCAGCCAGAATGCTCCTTGGAAGTGAGAATGGCTAGACTTCATTTCACCTACTGTGGTCATGTTGTCAGAAGGGACCATTCTCTGGAGAAGGATGTCATGCTTGGTTAACAAAAAAGGGGAATGCCCTCGACAAGATGGATTGATACATTGGTTGCAACGATAGGCTCGGGCATAGCAAATATCGTGAGGCTTCCATAGGACTGGGCAGTGTTTCATTCTGTTGTACATAGGGTTGCTATGAGTCAGAGATGACTCGACGGCACCTAACAACAACAATAGGAAACAACTATTTTTCAGACATTAGACATCAGGCAGCACAAGACTGTAATCTCTGAGAAACAGGAAACAAATGAGGTGAGCCCTAATTACTCAGACATTTTTTGTGGGCAATTTCCACACTAAAGTATAGAGAGAAGCAACCTGAACAGAGTCTGGTAATCTTGCTGAGTAAAGGAGACAGAGATTAGATATGTGAAGGTTGGGACACTGAGGAAGCTTGAATTTGCTGGAAAGATCATTCTAAAGGAGGAAACTAGACAGAGAAAAATTTCCATAGCTGCACAAAGCATTGCTTTGAGTCTTTGAATACAAATCTGCAGCTGCACAGGGAAAACCTCCAGGAGGAAAACATCCAGAGAAAAAAAATTACCAAGGTCTGTAAGATGAACAATTCATGAAATCACACAGGGCTGGGAATCATCCAAGGTCCTACTAGCCAGAATGGACAGACTTTATTAATCTTTCTGCAACCCACAGGAGAGAGTGCCTGCCTGTATTTTCACCTCCAGGTTTAGTGTTAAGCTGCTATCCATTTTTAGTGCATGCTGCCATCTGGTGGCAGGCCTGTATAATTGCATGAATCCCATCAACCCCAGCACAAGAGACTTCTTGGGACATATATATCTAACTGATTATATCAAAATCCATATTACCACAAAAAATATTGTTTTTTCATTTTATTCAAAATGCCTTCCATTACTGAAAACATGGTTTCAACAACAAAAAAAATTCAAAGCAGAAAATAATATGGTAAAAAAACAAAACCCCATTGG